TGGGGGGGTCACCACACCATGAGGAACTGTATGAAAGGGTCGCAGCATTAGGAAGGTTGAGAACCACTGTTCTAATGTAATCATTTTCAAAGCAGTTGGCGGTGGTAGCAGGCACCATCTAGTTCTTCTGGTTTCAGGATTGTGTAGACTGATGTTTGTGTGGTCCGTTAGCCCACTGGATCATTGTTTTCATGTGTCATTCCATTTTTACCACCTTTCTTTTCTTTGCATGGGAAGATACCAATGGTTGTACTTCACATACATTTATTTGCTTGTTAATTTCTCACCCTCTAGCCTCCAACTCTACCTTGTGTCTTTTTCTACTATTATGACCATATGAAAATCATGTGATCTTCTAGAAAAATCCTTCACTACTCTATAAGTTCTTAGAGTATGAACAGTTACATGCAATTTTTTAACCTCTAGTACTAAGCCAGTGCCCAGCAAAGAATAACATTGAATAACACTTGGAGAGCTGAAATGCTATTCAAACCAAATCTGACTTGTGCTAAACAAGGGAATGGAAGGGGTATCTTCTTTGACTACATTTTGGCTCGGTAAAGAAATACAACAGAGAGACAAGGAGCTTCCTTGGGAAACATTGATTAAGGTTCTTACTGTAACTCAGCCTTTTGGGTTGTATTTATCTTGGATTTCCTCCGCTGGGATCTGGACCTGTCTTTGATCTTGTCTGTGTCTCTCGTTCTTCATAATCTAAAACAAACAAGTGAAAACAACTTTGAGCAGTTGAAGATTGGCTTGAGTTTGGGGATCCCGTTATTTAGTGATTATGACATCACTCCCGGAATGAGATAATAACCTCACATTGATTATTGGGTGTTGAAGCATAATACATGCACCACAAATCATGATTTTAGTCGAAGAAGAAAGTGAGGGAAACACGCAAGGCTCAGACCTCTCCTCTGGACACAGAGCACCTGGTCCTCTTCCGATGGGATTCCTGGGCCAAAGCTAAAACAGAAGCTACGGGCTAGATCTGGGCAAGAACACTCTATCAAAGGTGCCAGAGCAATCTTGGCTGAAGACCCCACTGCTATGGAGTTGCATTTGAAGAGCGGGCGAGTGGAGAAGAGAAATGCTAAGGGGAGTAGCAGCTTTGACCTGGAAGGCAAAGGAGAGAAGGCCGGAGGTCAGGAGAGAAGATGAACGAGACTGAGGAAATGGAGATGGAGATGGGACAAGAAGATGGCCAGAAACTTCAGCATGAAATCAGCTATCCTCCCTCCCACCCCTTCTTCAATACGTCTGGCTCCGCACCCCTGATTGAGACACACGGAATATGACCCCCATCTGAGAGCTTCAGGTGCTCCATTGAGGAGGCATACCTTCTGTTAACGGAAGCTATTTAAATGTGGGAACTTCAACACAGCAATTTGGATAGAGAATGTTATGTCTATAAACCTGGAGTTTAAATAGCGTTCGTCTCCATGAGTCTAAAATTCTCCAGAATCCTTTTAGGTTTTTCTTCATGGTATATAATTATAGAGAAAAATAGAATTCGTTTATTCAGAAATAGTCACTGAGTCATGACCTCACTCCCAATCTCAGGGGCCCAAGCACTCCTGTGGGACAAAGCTATTTCCTTCTCCAATCTTTAGAGCACCAAGCCGCCATCTCTCACTCATGGAGGACGAGTCAGGCCAACCAATGACTGGATTCATCGTCGTTTATCAGCTCTTCTCCTCAGGCACATGCGCTTCAGATTCTGCAGTGATGGAAGCAGACAGTGCAGAATGCGTCGTCTAGTGGAGCGATGCTGCTATAGGAAGTAAATTACTAAAATTAAAGCATAGACATCAACGGCAAAGTCCCTGCTTACCTGGAGTCTGTCCAGCTTATTTTTGGCCGTGAAATACTGAGAACAAAAAGCAATTTAATATTTGAGGCTAAAGAATTAGGCCCTGAAGAAAAAACAAACAGATCTCTCTTGGAAGCAGGACAGCCAGAATGCTGTTTAAAGGCAACGGTGGGGAGACTTCATCTCACCTACTTTGGACGTGTCAGGAGAGCACAGTCCCTGGAGAAGGACACCATCCTGGGTGCAGGGCCGGAGAAAAGGAGGGAGACTCTTGACAAGACAGATCCACACAGTGGCTGCAACACTGGGCTCAACCCTAAGAACAACTGAGAGGATGATGCAGGGCCTGGCAGTGTTTTGTTGGGTTGTACAGAGTTGCTATGACTCCTCCTGGACTTGAGAGTGCCTAGCAACCACAAATGAGGGGTAGTTTCCGACCTCACCCCATGCAGGGAGAGAGGAGGGAATCGAGGTGTTGTGTTTTGTTGCTGTTGGGTGTGTGTGAGTCCATTCTGACTCGGAGTAATCCTCTCTTACCAGACAGAGCCACCCATTGGGTTTGCTTGGCTATAATCTCTATGGAGGCAGGTAACCAGGTCTTTCTCCTGCAGAGCAACGGGGAAGGTTGGCACCTACCAACCCTGTGGTAGGAAGCCTACCACTTAAATATTGCATCGCTAGGGCTCATTGGGGAGAAAGTCAGGGCTTTCTACTCCCATAAAATTATCCTCACAGGGGCAGTTCTAACCTGTCCTCTCGGGGCGATGAGAGTTGGTACCGACGCGTGGCAGTGGGTTTTCAATAGTTCACAGGAAGAGTGAATGTGTGCACTGCAGGTACAAGATGATGACGGGGAGAGTTGGTACCCCCTGATCAAAGGTGAAGCTTTGGGGGAGGTCCTAGGGTCATCCCCCTGTCCCTCACCAGAAGTGCTCAGAAGGTGTCTGGTTTTTTCCACTTCACAATCCTATACCCAGCCTAGTCGTCCTTGGACCGAGTTGCTGAAGCTGCCTTTTTCAGAGCTTGAGAACCTCTCCACCTTAGGAGAATGGGGTCTGATTTCACCCCCAACATGACCAACCTCCTTCAAGTGGCTTGAGGAGGACACATTGTTACCGATTCTTCAGTACATTTTACACCACTGTGCTCTCAGAGGAGGTTCGTGCGACCTTATGGCTTCATCTTACCCCTTCCAACTTCCCTCTCTTTGCTTCTTCGTCTCTTTCTTTTACCAGAATTTTGTTGAGAATCTGTCTGAGCAAAACGCAGTGGACACTGGCCCAATCTAGAAGAAGCTCAGTTGTAAATGCCAGGGAAAACGCTATCATCCGTCTGTATCTTTTGCTAGATGCAGAAGCACAGGAAGACCAATCGCATCATCCAAAGTCAAGTTAGAAGAATCCAAGGTTCTTCCCAGGCTGAAGACCGAACCTGGCCCTTAGACACCCTTCAAGCCTTAAACTGAACCCACCCCCAGGGACCAACTTTCAGCCCACACTTTCCTCCTGTAAAGTGAAAAGAACCTTCCTCCTCACTACAATCAACCACGAGACCAAAGGGGCAGCATTTGCCCCAAAGAAAGGCTCAGGAAGGGGCAGGGAAGAAGGATGGATGAGAAACTCAGCAAAGAGATGGGAACGGTGCTGTTCCGTTGAGGGGACTACAAGCAATCTCACAAAACAAAATGTGTCCAACTTGTTGAATGGGGAACTCATTTGCTCTGTAAACTTTACCTAAAATATAATAAAAAAGCAAACTCCTGCCTGTTCCCCCCTCTCCGCCCCCCGTCCCCCAAATACCACCAGCAGGATCAAGTCTACACAAACCCACTCAACCACAAATATGAGAGGGCTTCAAAAATTTCATGGAAATCAATTGGAATTAAAAGGTCATGTAATTTCCCCATGAACTGTTTGGAGCCTCCTAGGACATGCTTCCCCAATTTGTCGTATTAAGCTGGCTTGGGTTTTGCTGTGAGCCTGGGTGCTATGCCACCAGTATCTCAAATACGAACAGGGTCACCATGGTGAGCAGGCTTCATTGGCGCTTCCAGACTAATACAGACTAGGAAGAAGGACGAGGTGGTCTCCGTTTGAAAATGTAGCCCCTGGAAACCTTTTGAAAAGCAGCAGAACAGTGTCTGGTATAGTGCTGGAAGCGAGCCCTTCAGATTGGAAGGCAATTTTAATAATAATAATAACAATAATAATATACATGTATGCCACTTAGTTTTCAATGGAAGTAAGCTATGGCCTGTATTTTACTCTTTAAGGCAAAAAGTCTAATATAACAACAATCCAAATTTTAAAATTTAATTGTTTTTTTTTAGAAATCCAATATTTAAACAATTCCACCGTTAAAATATTTGAATGAGGAGCTGATGCCAAGGGCTTAAATGGAGAGCAAATGTTTTGAGAATGACGAGGGAAACGAATGTACAAATGTGCTTTATACAATTGATGTATGTATGGATTGTGATAAGAGTTGTATGAGCCCCTAATGAAATGATTTAAAAACAACAACAACAGCAAATATTTGAATCCATATTTAATTTTATTTGAAGGGAAGCCTTTTAGCAGTCACAAACGGTGTTCTCTTATGAACAAAGCCCCGAATACATTACTGAACCCCGCAAGGACAGAGGTGTGCCAGGCCTGACTTGTGCTGGGCCTCATCAGAGGTAGGTTTTCAAATTTCAGAAATGTTGTCTGGTGAAGTGGGGAACCCGCCGGACTGCTGACTTACAGGTTGGCAGTTCAAACCCACCAGCCGCTCTGCTGCCATAAAGATGGTTAGCCTCGGAACTCCTATGGGGCAGTTCCACTCGGTCCCACAGGGTTGCTGTGCCCTGGAATCGACTTCGCCACAGTAGGTTTGGTGGATGGCTCTTGGGTTGCTTTGTTAGACAGAATGGTGATGAAATGCATTCTCTGTAGGATCAGCCAGCTACAGACACCAACGCACACATTTTCTGTTTTTTTTTTTGTTTCTGTTTCCCTTTTAGGGGGCACGGCCACCCGGCAACGTGGCTTTCTGGGGTGCATCAGGTCACTGAGGTTGAATGGGCTGGCACTGGACCTGGAGGAGCGAGCCAAGGTGACCCCTGGCGTGGATCCCGGATGTAGAGGCCACTGCGGCAGCTACGGGAGGCTGTGTCGCCACGGAGGGACGTGCCGAGAGAAGCCCCAGGGCTTCTCGTGTGACTGCACCTTCTCTGCGTACACTGGGCCCTTCTGCTCCGAGGGTGAGTGAGCCAGCCGTGCCTAGAACACCCCAAGTCTGTTTCACTCCCCAACAGCTGTTGGAAACAAAACTGTCTCCTCTGCTTTCCCTGTGCAAAGGATCCATTCATGCCAGTCATATTCCCTTGCCTCGGGATTGGATTCATTTCTTGCAAAAACTAGCAGTTCCACATTGGGCTGCTCACCACCAGGTCAGCGGTTCGATACCACGAGCCGCTACTCTGGTAAAGCATTACAGTCTCCAGAATCTACCCTGTCCTACAGGGTCCTTATGGGTCAGCAAGCATCGAGCTGATGGCAGTGAGCTTCCTGATGCTGTGCTTCCTGATAAGAAGGAGTCCCTGGAAATCTACTTGGGCTAGTGTTTTGTTGGTGGTAGGTGCTGCGAATGGCTGACATGCCGGGCTGCTAACTCAAAGGGCGGTAGTTTGAGCCCTCCCAGAGCCCCCGCAAGAATCCCTGGTGGCCGAGTGGTTTTAAGTTAGGCTGATAACCTCAAGGTTGGCAGTTTGAAACCACCGGCAGCTCTGCTGGAAAAAGATGGTTTGCACTCCCCTAACGAAAAACCGTCTCTGGGACCCAACAGGGGAGTCCTCCTCTGCCCAGTAGAGTCATTATGAGGTAGAATTCGCTTGATGGCAGTGAGTTTTTGGTTTAGAGACAACTTAGAAGAAAGTTGCTCTTGACTTCTGACAAAGCATACACACCTGAGGTCATCGGCATCAGAGGCAACGCCATGGCTACTGCGTGTGTTGCTCTTTTTTTTTTCTACAGCTGGGAAATTCTCTGATCTTTGTTGAAGGGAATCTAAAGTGTTTTTTTTCCTCTATCCCAGTTGATGCTGTTAGCTGATATGACATGGAGCTCTGCATTGGCAAGGGGCAGTGCTCTATTTTAGAATCCTGAAAGAGATAAATGATGGTTATTTTTGATGATCGTGATTGGTATTACAGAGTATTTAAAAAGCATTGTGGGGTTTTGCTTTTCTTCCACTTTTTTTTTTTTTTTTTGCTAATCAGCTTTTTGGCTAAGACTGTAGCTAACGGTTAACCATTATAGAGTAGGGTCTAATAAAATGGAGCCCCCGAGGCATTTTTCGATTTTGTTCTGTGAACCATCTACCTATTTGTTGTCAGATCAAAATAATACTTTCCAGCTTCTCCTGTTCACGGAGGGATCCCTGGACCGTGCAGATAGTTACATGTTCAGCTGGTTACTGCAAGAGTGGAGGTTCAGGTCCTCCCAGATGTGCCTCAGAAGAAATGCCTGGCGACCTTCTTCAGAGAAGTCAGCCACTGCACACCCTCTGGAGCATAGTGATGTCCTGACCCACTTGGGCTTGCCATCGGTGGGAATCTAGTTGAGGGGAAAGGGCTTGCGTGGGTCTTGCCCCCCTGAGCTCTGCCAGGGAAGAAGGAGGGGGTTCTATGCAGTCTTCTGTGTTTCGGATGGAAATTTTGGAATAGACCTGCCATGATTGGGCTTTTGTGGTTCCTCCTAGAAGACCGCCATCCAATTCCACTTTATTGGCTCTGTTGAAGCATCTCTGGGCAATGCACCTTTTCCTGAAAGGAGCCCAACACAAACGGACTCCCCTGCTTTTCTAAGTACTTGGGGTCCTGTTAAGGTGCACTTTTCAAGCCCCCTGCTTTCTGGTCAGGAAGACGTTGTCATATAAAGCCAGCCTGTGATAGTAAATGGTATGCTGCAGCAGGTACTGTCTGGGGAGAATTTCCACATTTAAAGTTAACATTCAGTTGTGACCTGTTGTTCATAAGCAAGAGTCTCCACTTTCTGAATCTGATTTCTGGCAATCGAGAATAGTACCGTTTACTCACATATTATAAGAATATTAAAATGATGTTATATATGGTAGATTATACAAATGATGTTAACAGACCAAGTAAGGAGCTCGGGCGGCAAAGTGGTTACATTCTTGGCTGCTAACGGCCAAGTCAGTCATGTGCACCTAACCATTCATTCCACTGTGAGGGAGGAAGACGGTGTGCTGTGCTTCTGCACAGGTTGCTGTGTTGTGGTTGCTAGGTGTCATTGAATCAGTTCCAACTCATAGGAACTCTTTGCACTGCAGAAAGCACTGTTAGTCCTCCTGTGCCATCTTCCCTGCGGTTGGTTGAGACCATTGTCGAGCCACTGTGTCGATCCATCTCTTTGACAGGTTTCCTCTTTTCCACGGCCTTTCGACTTTACAAGGCATCATGTCCTTTTCCCAGGGACTGGTCTCTCCTGACAACGTGTCCAATGGATGTGAGCATAAGTCTCGCCATCCTTGCTTCTAAGGAGCATTCTGGCTGCACTTCTTCTATAAAAAAAAAGATCAATTGTTCTTTTTTCAGTCTATAGTACTTTCCGTGCGCGTGTGTGTAAGTGCACCTTTGGGAAATTACTCCCGTACCAAATAAAACACGATGCTTTCAAAACCTGCCTTAAGAGAAGCTGGATGGTTTTCTTCTATTGACCCCTGCTAAGCAAATGCTCTCAGATGAATGCTAATTCCCCAAACTTCCCTTTCCCTTCTCAGCGGGCCATACATAGGAGAAAGTAGATTGGCCTCAAGGACCACGTTTGTTCATTGATTCAGGAAGTTGAGAGGGTTTCTGAAACCTCCTCCTTCCACGCTAGCACAAGGGAGACCATCTGTCGAAAAGAGATGGGGTCCAACCTGAAGGAGTCAATGCAAGAGAAAGAAGGGACTAGCCAGCCGTCTGATTCATGTCTGAACCCAGAGAGAGAGGAGCATTCAGCTTACCATGGTAAAGCTGTACTTGTGAACGAATCGGATTTAATTCTAAGATAAAGCCATTTCAAGGGCCACCGTGAGAGCTCTATTAATTCCTGCCTCCGTCAGTTCTGTTTGGGGGAAGAGTGTTCCTTACCGGATGCAATCCATTCCTACTTTTAAAAACCACCCGCTCCCAACTAATGTAAACTCCAAAAAGAGCAGCCCAGGACGGCACCTTCTTCTTTCACGTAGCCACCCGGGCCTGTCGTTTCAGAGATTTCAGCGTATTTTGGAGCAGGCTCCTCTGTGATGTACAGTTTTCAAGAACATTTGTCCCTGAGCAAGAACTCCAGCTCCCACGCGGCTTCCTTCCACGGCGACGCGAAGCTGAGCAGAGAAGCGATCCGATTCAGCTTCCGAACGGCCCGGACCCCAAGCCTGCTGGTTTACCTGAGCTCCTTTTACAAAGAGTACCTTTCCGTGATCCTGGCCAAAAATGGTGAGTGCCTCGCCCCGAGAGGGAGAGGAAGCCGGTGGGAAACAGGAGGTCAGTGGTGTCAA